CAGAAGATACTGAAATTACAAGGGGAGATCAAAGAAGTCGGACAGTCAACATTATACATATTGACATAAAAACAAAGGAAAACCATGTGAATGGACACTTTCTGTAGATACAGTTATTTTTTTTTAATAAACTGTATGTTTATGTACATGTATGTAGTCTTTGTACTTAATGCTAAAATAATAAAATAAAATAAAATAAAATCACAGGACATTTACATGAACTGAGATACTATTGTAGTTTTATTAATGTATAAATATAAATATAAATATAATATATAAATATATTTTTATATTTTCCATTTTTATTGGAATTTTAGTTAAAGTTTTAGTAATTTTAGTAAATAGTGTTTTTAAAATTGATTTTTATTTCTGTTTTAATTTGAGTTATTTTACTACATCATTTTTTTGGTAACACTTTAATTTAGGGACCAGTTCTCATTATTAACTAGTTGCTTATTAGCATATGACTTAACTACCTTACTACCTATTAATAAGCAGTAATTAGGAGTTTTTGAGACAAAAGTAATAGATAATGGTTTGTTAATAGCGAGAATTATTTGTACCTTAAAATAAAGTGTGACCTTTTTTTTATTTCAATCAACATTTATTTTATTTCAAATAACAAACATGTTTTATTTTTCAATTAAAATTTTTTTTTAAATTGAAAGCATTGGATCTAAGTTATTCCCTGATCCAATACCTATCGAATTACATGCACCATAACAACACCTTTTACCATAATGTTGGGAATTTGAAAAAAGGAGGTTTGTATGTTACAGCCAGTTCAGTAGGTTTGTTGGTCAAAATGGCAGACAACAACAAGGCTTATCAGCTCAGCAATTTCATTGGCTGTTTGGGCTGTCAGTCATTTATCTGTCATGAGGTCATTAAGACAACAGAGCTTCTGTCTCACCTTTCCTGTGCATCCTGTTTTCCTCCAGCAGCGGCATCATGAGCCTGCTGTTCCCCAGCGATCCCACTCCAGGGTAAACCAGCGGCATGGGCTGCACCACCACCGGCACCCGGCGTGGGTGGAGGTGGACTGGGCTGGAGCAAGGAGGCATCAACTGGGGTATGTGCAAAAACGACTGCCCCCTGAGACTCCTGGACGGGGGAGAGGCCACCACTGGAGACATCTTCAAACGAGGAACAGGGGTTATAACTGAAGTGGAGGAGGATGAAAGCATAGATAATGATGACGGTGATTTGCTGGAAGGAGGGGAGCGTGGACAAAATCGTATTGATGATGAGGGAGACGAGGATAAAGATGAGGATGCTGAAAGTGACGGGGAGGTTCTGGCTCTGTTGGTGGATAGGTCCACGGGCTCTGTTTGCGTCTGGAAGGGGTCGGACAGGAATCGTCTATCATCTGATGGTGTCCGAAATCTGCGGTTCAACACCAGAACGCCCATCTCTGTGTAGTCATGGATCACAGGAGACTGAGAGGAAAGAGACAAAATGAAATCAGTTAACTATTAATTACTATTACACTGAAACAGGAACATTCTAGGATTTCCTAGGATTTCAGTCTTAAAGGAACACTCCACTATTTTTGAAAATAGGCTCATTTTCCAACTCCCCTAGAGTTAAACAGTTGAGTTTTACCGTTTTCGAATCCATTCAGCCGATCTCCGCGTCTGGCGGTAGCACTTTTAGCTGTAGCTTAGCATAGATCATTGAATCTGATTAGACCGTTAGCATCTCGCTCAAAAATGACCACAAAGAGTTTCGATATTTTTCCTATTTAAAACTTGACTCTTCTGTAGTTACATCGTGTACTAAGACCACAAGTTGCGATTTTCTAGGCCGATATGGCTAGGAACTATACTCTCATTCCGGCGTTATAATCAAGGAACTTTGCTGCCGTACTATGGGTGCAGTAGGCGCAATGATATTACGCAGCGCCTGAAAATAGGCTAACTTCCGCCAACATAACCTACGTGACCACCTGCTTGCACAGGGAGCGTGCTGGGGACTATTTTCAGGCACTGCGTAATATCATTGCGCCTTACATTGTATGGGTCAAAATGATCGATTTTTCTTTTATGCCAAAAATCATTAGGATATTAAGTAAAGATCATGTTCCATGAAGATATTCTGTAAATTTCCTACCGTAAATATATCAAAACTTAATTTTTGATTAGTAATATGCATTGCTAAGAACTTTATTTGGACAACTTTAAAGGCGATTTTCTCAATATTTTGATTTTTTTGCACCCTCAGATTCCAGATTTTCAAATAGTTGTATCTCTCCCAAATATTGTCCTATTATTGTCCTATTGTCCTATTGTCCTATTCCTACCTAACAAACCATACATCAATAGAAAGCTTATTTATTCAGCTTTCAGATGATGTAGAAATCTAAATTTCACAAAATTGACCCTTATATGACTGGGACCCTTATGACTGGTTTTGTGGTACAGGGTCACATATGTGGTTTATAAATACTGTACTAATAAACAGCCAATGTGCTAGTAATATGCATGCTAATAAGTTAATAACTAGTTAATAGCAAGAATAGGTCCTTAAAATAAAGTATTACCATAATATTTCACAATATTACTGTTTTTAATGTATTTATCAAATAAATGCAGCAAATGCCACTTATAACCAGGTCCATCACTGAATAGAAGAAAGGATTACACTTAATGCATGCTTTCAATGAGTGCTAAGGAGAGATTCTGAGTGAAATAATCTATGATTGCCTATGCAGGTGGCTGAAATGAAAATCGGAGGGCTGAAGGACAGTCCTTCAGCCCTCCGATTTTCATTTCAGCCACCTGCATAGGCAATCATAGATTATTTAGGTGGATTAAGCACCTAAAGTATTGAGAGTGTTTGTTTATTATACAGGAGGAAAACACCACAAAAGGTGCAGAGAAAAAGTGAAGAAAAAGCAGTCTTTCAGACATTTACTGACTCAGCTGTTATCCTAAATTAACATCAGTAAATCGACAAAACATTCCAGTCAAAGATGTCAGAAGCACTCACTCAGACTCAATGAAAGCATGGACAAAAAGTGGTCTGCTGGCAGCATTATTTCTAGCCCAGAAATTTCCCTTCTGTTTTTTTACTGTGGTTGACTTGGAGGCTGTTCAGCCGAAATGGAACATGTTTTGAAACTTCATCTCTACCCCGTTTCTGTCTCTCCCGACTCATGCTTCACCTTTCCCACCTTCCTATCCCTCCCCTCCTGCACGGCCCACATCCAACCCCTCATACGGGGGGCTACCAGTCATTATGGCTAATTTTCCGAATCCGAAGAGCTTCTGGTGAGGACGGCTTTAATAGGGGGAGCAATGCATTTCCAAGAAAAGGGTCTTGGCGTTGAGCCCACTCAAACAAGAAGCATGTGCTGCCTGTTGATTTAACACACTTCAAAGCTGAGCTGCGTGGCCCACGCATATCCTGCACTCGACCCAATCAACGACACAACAACGACAACCGTTAAAACGGCTAAAACAGGGTGCAAAATATTAGGTGTGAGGGTTTTGCTGTGCATGAATATGGAGAGAAAGCATTAGGACTTGGGGACTGGGGCAAGCACGTGTATATGTTTATTTGGTCAAGCCTGAAATTCTGGCATGTATCCTGAAGACTCCAAGCACAGAACACCTTAAACTAAACCTCTAGTCAAGCAGTGCAAAGTACACTAAAGATAGCACAGTAAAGCACAGTCACTTAGTATAGTGAATCTCATGAAAACTTCCCGATTTCCTAAGTAAAATGTCATGATATTACTGCATAAACACCAAAATATTATCATTGCAAAATATTATAACTCTCATTATTGTCATAATATACAGTATATATATATATAGACACACACACAGATACAGTAAA